ATCTGAACATCACATAATCTGAACATCACATAATCTGAACATCACATAATCTGATCATCACATCCTCTGAACATCACATAATCTGAACATCACATAATCTGAACATCACATAATCTGATCATCACATCCTCTGAACATCACATAATATGAACATCCTCTGAACATCACATAATCTGAACATCACATCCTCTGAACATCACATAATCTGAACATCACATCCTCTGAACATCACATCCTCTGAACATCACATAATCTGAACATCACATAATCTGATCATCACATAATCTGATCATCACATCCTCTGATCATCACATAATCTGATCATCACATCCTCTGAACATCACATAATCTGAACATCACATAATCTGAACATCACATCCTCTGAACATCACATAATCTGAACATCACATAATCTGATCATCACATCCTCTGAACATCACATCCTCTGAACATCACATAATCTGAACATCACATAATCTGATCATCACATCCTCTGAACATCACATAATATGAACATCCTCTGAACATCACATAATCTGAACATCACATCATCTGAACATCACATAATCTGAACATCACATCCTCTGAACATCACATCATCTGGACATCACATCCTCTAAACATCACATCCTCTGAACATCACATAATCTGAACATCACATCCTCTGAACATCACATCATCTGGACATCACATCCTCTGAACATCACATAATCTGAACATCACATCCTCTGAACATCACATCATCTGAACATCACATCCTCTGAACATCACATCCTCTGAACATCATTACACCATAACCCCTCAAATTTGACTAACTATTAGCAACATCAAATAAGTGTGTTGCTTTTTAATCCTCCTCTTGTATTGGCAGTACCTTAGGGTTAGGGTTTTTGAAACTCGATAAGAAGCGACACGTTGCACCTGATATACCTCAACTGAAAACTACAGATACATTGATCATTGCAAGGAGATGGAAGACCATAGCTTCACAAAGCCATCAGTTTTAAATCCTGTCCTCGTGGTGCGGGAGTTCTCTTCAGTTAACGTTGTGAATGTGGCCATTTTGTGTTTAAATACAGTCAGAAGTACCATTATGTTTTCCCCTTACCGTTAAACTAACTTAAAAGGGTTCCTTAAAGGTGGGGTAGGTAAGTTTGAGAAACCGGCTCGAGATACACTTTTTGTTATATTCCATGGAATGCTCTTAACATCCAGATAGCAATGAATATCTGAAGTGCTTTGACAAAAAATCCATAAAGAAATATCATCTGTGGAAGCTGTAGTACTGTAAAAAGCACGACCAATCATCTGAGCCGGCCCGGCTAAAATAACTGGATGGCCTACCTGCCTGTCAGCCTTCCATCTGTGCACAAACTTATCTCGTGCCCTCATTGGTCATGTGCGCGTTCGTGTGTGTTGGAGGAGGGGCTCTGTGAGGAAGTGGCAGATTTTCTCCGGTTGTGTATTTTCAAATTCTAGCGATCTCGAGCCGGTTTCTCAAACTTACCTACCCCACCTTTAAGTATTAGATAAAGAGAACATCTTTAATATGTAAGGACACATTGTAAGGAAACCTCAATACTTAACAGTGTTTTTGTGTAACTAATTGTATATTTAAAGGAAAGCTTAACTCAGACTTTAAAGATATGTTGTGCAACTGATACTGAACTATTTTCTAAAAGCATATTTACATTAGGGGAACATTGATAAGTTGTTACACCGGTCCTATTTAAAGCAAGATTTAACAATGAAAGCACAAACTGGCAAGAGTACTCAGTTGTTATGTGGAATATGTTGGATCTATTTTCACAAATCAACCAAACTATAGCAGCATTTCTTGGAGGCAATCTTTTTGGAGTTTGACCTGAACAACAAGTCAGGATGTTCTGACCTCTGCAGCCTCAATTTTCTTCAATCTATTGTGAGTCCTCTAACTTTATAAAGTGCTGCAGTGCTATCTGTTATAAATAGAGAAAGCTTTCCAAACACTCTTTGCTTCCACTTTCTCAAACGTGAACTTTCTGCGTTGGTAAATTGAGGGTTCTTCACTGTAAGAAGCATTCAAAGATGTGATTGGCACTGGTTGCTCCGTCTTACATACAGACCATAAGATTAATGATTCATAGAGAAAATATTTAATTGATGATGAAAATAATTGGTTATTGCACCTCGAAAACTTTCATGAGTTGTTTGCCCTCAGGTTCCTCAGCCATGTGTTGTTGATTTCACAGTGTGAATGTTTTTTAAAGAGAAACAGGTGTTGAGACGCAGACTGAATAAAACACCTTCGTTAGGTCTTTGATCCGGACCAGCTCACGTCTTCTCTCCGCTCTCACACATTTATTTCAGGCTCGAACTGACTTCACACTGAGCGGAACAACGGAGAGCAATTGGAATAGTTGATGCTTTGAAAAGCCTTGATTGCCCAGAAATCTAATTATCTGACACGGCTAAATTAATCTTCTCTGCATGATGGAGGCACATTGTTCAAATACACCTTCAACGGTCGGAGAAGTCTCCCAATGGACCTGAAGCCCATTTGTCAGAGAGTTATAATCCCCAAAACAAAAACCCATTGCTTTGAAAATAGTTTCTGTTACTGTGGAGAAGCTATAACTCAGGTTCCCCTAAATAAAAACATGCCTTATTGGTATCCTGACTCCAAAACAGTACGAGCTCCAGGAAGTCTCTTCATCTTCTCATTACAGACTGAACATACACCTGCTTTGCTCTTGACCTTGGACATTACATCCAATACAAAACATGTTTAGCACTCAAGGAGCTTTGCCCATTTGAAACTAATGCACCAGCACTTTCAATGGTTTGCCTTGTTTGAGTGAATTGATCTCCAATTGTCTTGCTGTTCTGAGTTTGTGTCTTTATGGTTAAGTGCACCTTTTGTAAGTCACTTTGGATAAAAGCTTAGAGGACTCTTTAAAGTAGAGACACTACATACTGATATACACCTGAACATCAGCAGGAGAGGACTCTTTAAAGTAGAGACACTACATACTGATATACACCTGAACATCAGCAGGAGAGGACTCTTTAAAGTAGAGGCACTACAAACTGATATACACCTGAACTGAGGACCTGACATGGACTCTTCACACTATCACCATCACCAAGAAAGCTCGACAGCGGCTCTTCTTCCTCCGCAGGCTGAGGAGGTTCAACATGGACTCCAGGATACTCTGCAACTTCTACAGGTGCACCATAGAGAGCATCCTGACCTTCTACAGGTGCACCATAGAGAGGATCCTGACCTTCTACAGGTGCACCATAGAGAGCATCCTGACCTTCTACAGGTGCACCATAGAGAGCATCCTGACCTTCTACAGGTGCACCATAGAGAGCATCCTGACCTTCTACAGGTGCACCATAGAGAGCATCCTGACCTTCTACAGGTGCACCATAGAGAGCATCCTGACCTTCTACAGGTGCACCATAGAGAGGATCCTGACCTTCTACAGGTGCACCATAGAGAGCATCCTGACCTTCTACAGGTGCACCATAGAGAGGGTCCTGACCTTCTACAGGTGCACCATAGAGAGTATCCTGACTGGCTGCATCACGGCCTGGTACGGCAGCTGCACCACCCTCAATCTTAAGGCTTTACAGAGGGTGGTGAAAACTGCAGAGAACATCACCAGGACGGAGCTGCCATCCATGGAGGACCTTTACTCCCAGCGGCTCAGGAAGAAATCCCTCAGGATTATAAAAGACCCCCATCACCCCAGCCACAAACTGTTCTGTCTGCTGCCGTCTGGCAGGCGGTACCACAGCATCCGGACTGAAACCACCAGACTCAGGGACAGTTTCATCCCACAGGGCATAAGACTGTTAAACACCTGAACTGTTGAAACAACATCCATAACATTCATCTGTTTGTAACTTATACTTATATATATGTATATCAATATTCCAATTACTTGCAGACACTTCTGCACAATTTATATTATATTCTATTTTCATTTTATTTACTTGCACTATTATCTATTTTATTGTATTGCTCTGTTGGAGGAGACTGTGACCTCAGATTGTCATTGTCATAACTACACCGTAGCTATGTACACATGACAATAAAAGCCTTGAACCTGAACCTTAAGAAAAGGAAATAAATCCCCCATAACACCCACAATTAACACGTGAACAAAATATATAAACCCTGTCAAATTAAAATGACAACATAAACGATCCATATGACAAAAATAATAAAGAATATATCTGTGGCTCAGGAGACGGTAGGACGGTGGTTCGATTCCCAGTGCCTGCAGTCATCAAGCAAGATACTGAACTCCAAATTCCTCCCGATATCAAAGATAGTGTGGATAAGAGTGTTTCCTCAAGATCCTCAAATTGTATTTATAAAATGACTTTGCTTTCCAAATCAAAGACCAAGATACTTTTTCTATTTGAGATGAGACTACCATTATTCATATATTGGCTGTGAGGGCATGGTTTTCAATGGATCTGCCCTACGAACTAACTTGTAGTTATTGAGAGAAACTTCACAATCAGTAAGGAAGTGCTGAAGAATTGTAACAGCGTCTTCATTCACTCTGGTACTTCTAATTAAATACAAGATCTGAATAGATAGATGGATGGATAGATAGATAGATAGATAGATAGATAGATAGATAGATAGATAGATAGATAGATAGATAGATAGATAGATAGATAGATAGATAGATAGATAGATAGATAGATAGATAGATAGATAGATAGATAGATAGATAGATAGATAGATAGATAGATAGATAGATAGATAGATAGATAGATAGATAGATAGATAGATAGATAGATAGATAGATAGATAGATAGATAGATAGATAGATAGATAGATAGATAGATAGATAGATAGATAGATAGATAGATAGATAGATAGATAGATAGATAGATAGATAGATAGATAGATAGATAGATAGATAGATAGACTTAAATCTTAAATACTTAAAGTGGAATATAATTACCAATTAAAGATTAAAGACAACTGGCCCTCAGTGTAAAGTCAGGTCTCTTTATTTAATGTTTGGCTCAAGCACAGAGTGAACATATCCAGATGTTGAAGTGTTACAGGAATCTGATGTTGCTTCATCTTTATAACCATCAGCAATATTTCCCACTAAATGGTGTTAACAGTGATTCTCTCAAACAAAACAAGTTCTGCAGCTTTTTATTCATGAGCTGTGAGTTCTGCACAAAGAAGGAAATAAACAAATGCTGAATTAAGCGATAGGATATTCCCAACATAATCAAAATGATACATTTAACAAAACAGATATTCTTTGTCTTTCACTTAAACTATGATTTCATAGTTCATCATTCTAATGTTGATAAAGCATGTCTGATCTTGTCCTGAACAGAAAAACCCACACCGCTTTCATGAGAGAAAAGACTCCTCTTGTATTCTCTAAATATAACTCGCTTTAAAATACTGATTAAAAAAAGACAAAGCAAAAGCAACCGGCTCTTGAAGAACCTTATGTCCTAAAATAATGAACATAAATTCAACAAAATAAGCAACTATTGTTTCCCCATTATGTTTATACGTGTTGTATTTCAACATCAGTTTTGACAGAGCAAGTGCCGGATATATAACGCTTGAGTATATGTTACTACGATAGAAAGTTCCTATGAAGAAATATTGTTCAACTGTTCGTAAAGCATCGGCTTTAAACAGTTTGAGAAGATGATGAAATCAACATTTACTGATAAACAAAAGTCACTTTTTGATATCCTCATTTTTTCTGGTCCCTCTGAGTTTGAATGAATGTTTGATTCTGTGAAGCACGTTTAAGTTAAATGGGATGTTAGGTCGCCATTTAAAACTTTAGGCAGACCAAGAATGGCCGACTGTGTGTAGATGTGTGTGAACATTAGGCTACTGAGCAGGTGGGTGACAGCCTCTGCTTCTATGAATGTGTGTGAATGGGTGCCAATGTAAAAGCGCTTTGATGGGTCGTAAAGACTGGAAGAGCGCTGTATAAATCCAGTTCATTTAGAATTCAACTGGACACAGGTAGGCATAGTTGGACTTATAATAAGCATAGAGGCCTGGGACAAGAGGCTCAGTGAATGTGGTGCGAAAGGTGTACAGGTGAGTCAGTGTGTTAGAGGAGACTCTGTAGAAGGACAAAGTGCCAGCAGGCCAGTCCAGATACACCCCGATTCTACTGAAGTCACCAGAGGGATGATGTGAATACACCCTCTTGCTGGCATGGAATGCCTTAAGAGATCGGACGACCCTCACCGCTTTGCAAAAACACCAGGTTTTTGGACTAAATTTGAACTTGCTCGCATATACGCCTTTTCTGTCAGCTCCCTTGTATGAAACAGCAGCATAAACAGACTCCCTGCCAGTGAGACTCCACTCTACCTCCCAGTAATGGCACCCAGATAACTCCTCTTTGCACAACACCTGTGGCTCTGTTTCAAACCTCTCTGGATGAGGAGGATAACCCTGCGATTCTCCACGTGTTGCCTTTTTGTTTCCGTGAGACAGAGTGAGACGGTTGTTGGCAGTGTTTGGGTCCAGGTGGAGATCACAGGCATCTAATGGAGAAAACATAACAAAATATCTTATCAGTAACTTTGATGGTCAAACTGCTGGAGAATTCACATTTTTGACTAAAAAAAAGGCTGACTTACACCAGATCAGATCTCTCTTGTCTGTGATGGTCTCCACAGAAGAAGGCTTTTGAAAGTCTTCAGTGTCCAGCTGGCCTTTCTTGTAGTGGTAGATGGTTGCTCCTTTGTAGTTGTCATTGGTTTTGGCCGTTATGAGGAAACGAAATTTGCTGTTGTTCTTCAGCGCTTTGGAAGAACCCTGCAACATTTTGGCTTTTTCTCTCATTGTGTTCAGAACTTCATCGGAGTAGTACCACTGGTCTTCATGGGTACCTCCTAACTTGGTTGTGTTCAAGAAGTCAGCCATCTCATCAAGGTAGATATCACCCCTTGGCATGGAGGTGAAAACAAAGCACAGAACATCCTCTACACCTGAAGCAAGGACCTCTCTGTCCAGCTCGGTCTGGTTCAGGACGATCTTTACTCCCTCCATGGTGTCGACACAGGACTTGATGACGTTGATTTCTCTCTCTTTGTTTTCCAGCCACTTGTTTAGTTTTTCATGGCTGAAGGGTGACTTGTGCCCGTCTTCAAAGACTTCTTCCAGTGAGCTCTCATCTTCCTTTCCTGCTCGGATGGAGGGAAGTTTCTCTGCCATGGCTTTCTGGATGTTGGTTTTATAATGACCACACAGTTGGAGGAAAGTGCTCAACTCTTCGTGAAGCACAGGGAACCTCTCTACCACTTTGTCTTCCAGAGAATCGTTGCATCTCATTTGTGTTTCCTTTAAATCTTCCAGAGCATCTTGGGCTTTCCCCACTAGTCCAACGCTGATCCCTGCCATCAGCTCACCAGCTTTGGGATCTAATCTCTTCAGTGGCATCAGCCAGACCTTCACTGGGACCGAATTCTCTCCATTTGTTCCCAGTAGCTGTGGAAGTTGTGTGTAGGTCTTCACTGCATCTTGAAATGTTGCTGGGTTGCTTTTAAGAATGAAGTCTCCGTAGAATTTGCATGAGACTTTGTTCGTCAGAGCTTTCTCTTCAGCAGTCAGCTTGATGTCAACACTTCCCTCAATATTTAAAGAAGGAATCTTCTTTATCACAGCGTGCATGCTGCCCTGTATCTCCTGAACCTCGCTGGCTTCTAACTTCTCACTGTCAAACACAAAGAAAGCATTTGCCCCATACAGGATGCCTGTGACTACATGAGTCGCCAAGCCCTTCTCAACAACCTTCATCTGTTTGGTGTCCAGGGTCACATGATCAATTGACAACTGCTTGAACTTGGTGGTAGCTTTGTACTCAAAGGTCACTCTGCTCTGATTCTTGAATTTCTTCTGATCATTCAGATATTTGGCAGATCCTCCAACTTCTATCAGTCCACTCAGGAAACTGACCTTCAGAGAAGCTTCAATATCCAGCATCTGGGACTTTGATTCAGTGGAGTCAGATGTAGACATTTCAAAAGTACTGCTCTGCTGAGGGGTTTTAGATGTTTTTACTTTCAGAGTTTCAGCATTCCATAATGTGAGACCTAAATAAACATGAAAGCGCAAAAACTTTTGTTTATATAAATTCACATAAAACATATAATTTCAAAGTTTTTCAGGTTGCAGCTTCCTATCCTGTGAGAATGTGTGATAAGCAAAGTGTGTGTGTGAAATAAATTCAGACTTCTGAGAAAGAATTCAGTTTTATTTTTATTTGTTCTTAGAAGCTCAGTATTCTAAAACTAAAGAATTCTATAGCACGGAGGAGTTTTTTTCGTGCTGAGATTAAAGTTATTCAGAGAAAAATCGGAAAATCTCAGTAACCTGACTTTTTTATTAAAATTCTTAGTTTAATCACAGAACCCAAAAAAAACCGCACTTTTGGTCAGATCTCAAAAAACGTTTCACACTCTTCCGTACTCTAGCATTCTTTAACCTGTTTCACGCCTTCCCCCCGGTACCGGGCGGATAAACGCGTCATTTGCAGGAAACAACGTCTAAGGAATCTTAATATTGAATAAAACTATGAATGTGTTATATCCATGTAACGGGAAGAAACTCAGCTAACTGATCTTTTTAATTTTTTTTTTCAAAAAAAACCCACAATGCTAGCACTCAGCCTCTGAATTAGCCTCGATCGAAAAAACGGGACCTACTAAGGCACTTAAACTCACTCATAACTCCCTTATTACTTATCCTAGATGCACAACCAAACACTATTTTTTGGTGTCCTGGAGACACTGAATCTAACGGTGCCCACCTCAACACTCAGTGATAAACATTCGCGACGCTATCAACGAAAGCGTACATCATCACATGTGGAGCAAAGAAGCTAAACATGTAAATATGGCTCACCTTGGTCAAAAGTGGTCTTCAATGGCATTAAAACGATAAAAAAACGATGCTGCAGTTAATCCATAGGTTCATCCTATGTGTCTGTGCCTTCTTTGAAATTATTTCTGATAATCCATAAGCAATACAACTGCGTTTTAGTTTCCAAACTCCAGAAGGAGACATTCCTCCAGTTTAGTTTCGCTTTCCACACGCGAAGCGGCAACATTTTTTCTTTACAAGCTGTCTGGGTGGGAGCCTCCTCCTTCGATTCTATTGGCTCTAACGGTCACAAGGGTATGTCAACCAACCAGATCGAGCAAGGGGGGCCAGAGATAGGTCAAATCCACCCAAATGACCACAGATGGCCCAGTTTTTGGCTAAATCTCTCTAAAAAGGTCAAATTTCACTTGTTTTGCATCAATCTTGATACAGGGTACTTATTATATGTTGTACTTTGGATTCCTAAAGCTTTTAGTCTACTAACCCATCATCCAAGGGTAGTTTTCACTATCTGTAAAAAATAATTTTTGGACGGACACTATAATTTACAGTTTTTTACTATGTAAAATCTGAATTTTCTTTAAAATAAAAAACATTTATATTGATTCTGACACTTCTACATCCAACTCACAGGTTTATCATTACTTTGAGAAAAGATTATTAATTTAACCCTTTTAGAAGGGAAGATATGGTCATTTGTTCTGGGAATGTCATTTTCGAGCCTGAGACCTGAAAAACAGGCTCAGAGTGGAACAGGTTAAATTCAGAATTCTGAGAAAAAAAATCTGAATCCTGAAGAGTCCTCAGAGTATGGAGGAGATCTAACCAAAAGTGATATTTATTTTTTGTTCTGAGCTTAAAGATCTTCTGAGAAAAAAAAACTATTAGAATTGTGACTTTTTTCTTAGAATCCTGAATTAAATCTCAGAACAAAAAATAAATTCACTTTTGGTGTAGCCCTAATCCTCTCAAGCATTCTTTAACCTGTTCCACCCTGAGCCTGTTTTTCAGGTCTCAGGCTCGAAAATGACATTCCCAGAACAAATGACCATATCTTCCCTTCTAAAAGGGTTAAATTAATAATCTTTATTCTCAAAGTAATGATAAACCTGTGAGTTGGATTTAGAAAAGTCAGAATCAATATAGATGTTTTTTATTTTAAAGAAAATTCAGATTGAACATAGTAAAAAACTGTAAATTATAGTGTCCGTCTAAAAAAAAAGTACTTATAGTGAAAACTACCCTTGGATGATGGGTTAGTAGACTAAAAGCTTTAGGAATCCAAAGTACAACATATAATAAGTACCCTGTATCAAGATTGATGCAAAACAAGTGAAATGTGACCTTTTTAGAGAGATTTAGCCAAAAACCCCACTTCTGGGGTCATTTGGGTGGATTTGACCTATCTCTGGCCCCCCTTGCTCGATTTTGATGAATGAAATCTCTTTATAACCGCTAGAGCCAATGGAATCGAGGGAAAGTTATATACACACCAACACGTTAACAAATAAGGAGTGAGAGTGACGCGTTACCAAAACCGGAAGCTGCATACACTCTGGTGGCTACCATTAGCAGCTAACTTTTCCGCTCCGATTTTTACATAAAAATGGAATTATGGATTATACATTTCTTCAAAGGCACAGGTACATTATCAACCTATGGATCAACAGTTGTAGCATTTTTTTCGTTTTAATGCCATTGAACACGTCTTTTGATCAGATTGACAGCTACAGTGAGACGATCTGCCGTAAAAGCTCCGTAAAGGTACGTGTTGTGATGTCTGTGTTTGCTTCCCCTGTCGCGAGTTCGGATCACTCAGTGATGATACTATACCTATATAATCTGTGGAGTCTCAGCTTTAATCGGATATATTTTATGTGCAGCTACGATAAGTAATAAGGGTATTTTTATCTTGAGTTCTGTGCTAAAGTGCGTTAGCATTTTTTCGCTTAGTGCTAATTCAGAGGCTTGGTATTACCCTTGTGTTTTGTTTTGGTTAAAAATGGTTCATATCTTCAGTTAGCTGAGATTCTTCCCGTTAATCTGGTGCTACACATTAATAGTTTCATAAATGTTAAGAAGCCCTGAGACACAGTCTCGAAAAAAAACGGTGGGGGGGGGTCCACTGGGGGGACCGTCGTCCTTAAGAGGTTAAAGGGGACCTATCATGCAAAATGCACTTTTTAATGTCTTTTATACATAACCATGTGTCCCCGGTGTGTCAGGGAACTCACAAAGTGTCAGAAAACAAAACACTCTCTCTTTTCCTCCGTACCCACATTTTAAAAAAAAAACTGGGGTGCTTTTTTTCGCTCCTATTGTGTCATTGGCGACATCCGGCCAACGTGACACGTCCCAACCTATCGTCTCCGGCACAAGTGACACGTCCCAACCTATCGTCTCCGTATACAGCCGCAGCTGTGTGTCTGTGTATTCAGCAGGATTTAGCAGCGTTTAGCTGAGTTTCTCCCGGTAGAAAACTCTCTTAGCAAGGGAAAGCTGCATGACGCTCCAAAGGGGCGTGGCTTGCAGCAGCTCCAAAGGGGCGTAGCTTGCAGCAGCTCCAAAGGGGCGCGGCTAGCAGCAGGCGTTCCATTTATCAGAAATCATTTCAAAGGGACACAGACACATTAGATTAACCTATGGATTAACTTCAGCAGCGTTTTTATCATTTTAATGCCATTGAAGACCACTTTGGAGAGACTACAGAGCCAAGGTAAAAATGTTAGCATTTTTAGCTACCTAGCGTCACCTGTTTTGATGTCCGTTTTTGCTTATAACGTCGCAAATACGTATAATTCAGTGGTAATGTCGGTGTCAATCGATTCTGTGTCACCTCACGATGTGAATCGATGTGTTGGATGTGGTGAAAAGATAAATAATAAGGTTTTGTGAGTGATTTTCGGTGCAGTAAGGTGTTAGCATTTTTCGCTCGTTGCTAATTCAGAGGCTCAGTGTTAGCATTATTGGTTTTCTTTAAAAAAAAAAAAAAAAAGATCAGTTAGATGAGTTTCTTCCCGTTACATGGATATAAAACATTCATAGTTTTATTAAATGAACATGCCCTCAGACACTGTTTCCTGCAAGATGTTGCGGCAGTGCCCCGGTACCGGGATCTCTCGGGCTTAACAGGTTAAAGCAGAATCAGCCTGTTTGGAAAAGGGCTGTAATAGAGGGTTATGAGCAGTATGAGGCATGGCTACAATGGGTGATCTGTTTGGTATTTTAAGCAAATACTTCACAGTAGGGCTGTGCAATTAATCGTATTTTAATCGCAATTACGATTTTGGCCTGCCACAATTACGAAAACAACATAATCGAAAAAAACAATTATTTTGCTTTGCTAGGTTGTGACCGTGCACTGCAACATATTTGATCTAATTTATTTTAGTCTAATTTATTTGTATTTATCATATTTATATATGTTTAGTAGCTTGGGGAAGTGCGCTCCAAAATATTTGTTGATCTTGTTTATTGGTATTTATTATTTTGATATTATTTATTTAAATGTATCATTTATTTAATTTATTTTAGTATTGGTTTTTCAGTTTAATTATACGTTCAGGGTAATCAACAGTTAAAAAGATACTGTTTAAATTGTTATTTGTATTTGTTTTAAAGTTCAATAAATGGATTTTTTCAAAGTCAATAAATAATCGTATTTAATAATCGTGATATCAATTATTGACCCAAATAATCGTGATTATGATTTTTGCCATAATCGCACAGCCCTACTTCACAGACATGTTTTGTATAGGTATGGCCCTACAATATATTTTTAAAACATAGCATAATAGGTCCACTTTAAATTAAGAAAAAAGTATTAAAAAAAAAGTTCCAAACTCTGATCATATTCAGAATCCTGACTTTTTTCTCTGAATTCCTAATTGAAAAAAATGTAGCAGAAAGAAAATCACTTTTGGTCAATTATTTAAAATGTTCACATATAGCCCTAATTCTCGTTTGTTCTAGAGTCAGTCAGAAAGGCATAATTGTCCCAGGCAATAGTTAAAAACACAGATTTGAGATAAAATGCCTATAAAATACAATCTATGGACAAAAGCAGTCAAAAAATATACAGATATACACAGATGCACTACAAAGAGAGAAAATAAATAACTCTCATAACACACTCAATTTAAAATGGCATGACAACAACAAAATAATGTTAATAATTGTTGTTGTACAGTGACTATGATGAAAGCTTTGTGACTATGTGAAGTCTTACCTGGAACCAGTTCATCTTTCCGAGCATCATAGAGCATCCCTAGGGTGAAAGGTCGTCCCAGAGCAGCAACGTTCATGAGATCTGAGGCCATTTCTCCAACCTGTTGAGAAGAAACAACACAGACTTCAGAAACTGATTTAAACGTCTGTTAAGGAGTAGGAGTGCTGAGAGTTAATAACACTTGGAGTCTGACTCTCAACTGTGCTTAGTAATGCAGTCTTTCCCTGCAGACACTAATCTAGCAGCTGTAGTTTTACACAGAAAAGTACAGTTTTTATTATAAATCTGTGTTTGTCTGTTAGTCCTCACCTGGTGAAGTTGTGTAGATCAGCAGAGTTGTGTGAGGGTCTTCTGACTTCCAGCAGGAGCTTCAAGTCTGATGGAATGTGGTGTGAGGTGACTTATATTCTGTCAGATACTCTCCTCCCCTGTACCTAGGAATGCAGAGACACTCCCTGACACTGACTGATAGTCTTTTCTGCGCATGCTATCGATATCCACACTCTGCAATTTCTTATAATGCAACTCTGATTAATTAATTAATGTTTGTTGGAGACTCTTATGTATGACATTTGACCAACCAATGTGTAAATGATTAACCTCTGATTAACTAATTTGTATAAAAAGCAAATGAAAGGTCCAAAACCAACTCAATGAACAAGGAAGTGAACAAAGACAGAAAACAAAGAAGGGCCTATCCCTTCTCATGCTGACACAAGGTCATTTAAACGCTTTCCTCAGACGCCAGGTGTGCGTTGTTAGGAATGCAGCAGGGCTGCTTCAGTGGGAGGCAGAAACCCAAGCAGGTGGAACAAAGTCATTCAGACCGGTTCTGTGAAACAAATACATCTTTTTTTAAATCCTTTTTCTTCTGAGTAACTTCCCAAACTGCAGATCATCAAAGAAGATATATGACAGATCAGCATTCATACATTTTACACAAATAACTTAACTATATAATTAATGTAGTGTTTGTAACCCCACCCCACTATTGCAACTGTAATATCAGATAATATATTTCATAAATGTTAGTAATTCACAGTATTGTTTTACTAAGGCTAACCAAAGGGTTATTTCACTTTATTGATCTGTTTTTTAAGCTTTATATTTAGTTTATATTTTCTGTGACAACAACATGATCTGAATAACTCTGTTCCTTCGTACATTTGCTACATTACAGAAAACAACAATATCAGTATGTAGAGACACTACATACTGATATACACCTGAACATCAGCAGGAGAGGACTCTTTAAAGTAGAGACACTACATACTGATATACACCTGAACATCAGCAGGAGAGGACTCTTTAAAGTAGAGACACTACATACTGATATACACCTGATCATCAGCAGGAGAGGACTCTTTAAAGTAGAGACACTACATACTGATATACACCTGAACATCAGCAGGAGAGGACTCTTTAAAGTAGAGACACTACATACTGATATACACCTGAACATCAGCAGGAGAGGACTCTTTAAAGTAGAGACACTACATACTGATATACACCTGAACATCAGCAGGAGAGGACTCTTTAAAGTAGAGACACTACATACTGATATACACCTGAACATCAGCAGGAGAGGACTCTTTAAAGTAGAGACACTACATACTGATATACACCTGAACATCAGCAGGAGAGGACTCTTTAAAGTAGAGACACTACATACTGATATACACCTGAACATCAGCAGGAGAGGACTCTTTAAAGTAGAGACACTACATACTGATATACACCTGAACATCAGCAGGAGAGGACTCTTTAAAGTAGAGACACTACATACTGATATACACCTGAACATCAGCAGGAGAGGACTCTTTAAAGTAGAGACACTACATACTGATATACACCTGAACATCAGCAGGAGAGGACTCTTTAAAGTAGAGACACTACATACTGATATACACCTGAACATCAGCAGGAGAGGACTCTTTAAAGTAGAGACACTACATACTGATATACACCTGAACATCAGCAGGAGAGGACTCTTTAAAGTAGAGACACTACATACTGATATACACCAGAACATCAGCAGGAGAGGACTCTTTAAAGTAGAGACACTACATACTGATATACACCTGAACATCAGTAGGAGAGGACTCTTTAAAGTAGAGACACTACATACTGATATACACCTGAACATCAGCAGGAGAGGACTCTTTAAAGTAGAGACACTACATACTGATATACACCTGAACATCAGCAGGAGAGGACTCTTTAAAGTAGAGACACTACATACTGATATACACCTGAACATCAGCAGGAGAGGACTCTTTAAAGTAGAGACACTACATACTGATATACACCTGAACATCAGCAGGAGAGGACTCTTTAAAGTAGAGACACTACATACTGATATACACCTGAACATCAGCAGGAGAGGACTCTTTAAAGTAGAGACACTACATACTGATATACACCTGAACATCAGCAGGAGAGGACTCTTTAAAGTAGAGACACTACATACTGATATACACCTGAACATCAGCAGGAGAGGACTCTTTAAAGTAGAGACACTACATACTGATATACACCTGAACATCAGCAGGAGAGGACTCTTTAAAGTAGAGACACTACATACTGATATACACCTGAACATCAGCAGGAGAGGACTCTTTAAAGTAGAGACACTACAAACTGATATACACCTGAACATCAGCAGGAGAGGACTCTTTAAAGTAGAGACACTACATACTGATATACACCTGAACATCAGCAGGAGAGGACTCTTTAAAGTAGAGACACTACATACTGATATACACCTGAACATCAGCAGGAGAGGACTCTTTAAAGTAGAGACACTACAAACTGATATACACCTGAACATCAGCAGGAGAGGACTCTTTAAAGTAGAGACACTACATACTGATATACACCTGAACATCAGCAGGAGAGGACTCTTTAAAGTAGAGACACTACATACTGATATACACCTGAATATCAGCAGGAGAGGACTCTTTAAAGTAGAGACACTACATACTGATATACACCTGAACATCAGCAGGAGAGGACTCTTTAAAGTAGAGACACTACATACTGATATATACCTGAACATCAGCAGGAGAGGACTCTTTAAAGTAGAGACACTACATACTGATATACACCTGAACATCAGCAGGAGAGGACTCTTTAAAGTAGAGACACTACATACTGATATACACCTGAACATCAGCAGGAGAGGACTCTTTAAAGTAGAGACACTACATACTGATATACACCTGAACATCAGCAGGAGAGGACTCTTTAAAGTAGAGACACTACATACTGATATACACCTGAACATCAGCAGGAGAGGACTCTTTAAAGTAGAGACACTACATACTGATATACACCTGAACATCAGCAGGAGATAACTCTTTAAAGTAGAGACTCTACATACTGATATACACCTGAACATCAGCAGGAGATAACTCTTTAAAGTAGAGACACTACATACTGATATACACCTGAACATCAGCAGGAGAGAACTCTTTAAAGTAGAGACACTACATATTGATATACACCTGAACATCAGCAGGAGAGGGAATAGGTAGTTTAAAAATCATCATTGGAAATACAGTATACTCTGCAAGAGGTGCAGAAGGATAATAATATATTTTGGGAAATGACCTCTGGAAAAGCAGCAGTAAACAGAAAAAACAAATGCAACCATTTCTCCTGCAGAATAACAACTGAACTGCTTTCTCAATTAGGTTTCAGGGAAGCCTATTTTCTCCAGGATTACCGACAAATAGCGGTCTTTGTAAAAGTTGTGTGTTTGCTTGACCCATCCGTCCTCTCTATGCAGACTCTGATGAGAACCATATTTGCAATAATGCCAAAAACTAAGTTAATCCAGGAGAAAACTAAGTCTCTGTCGAGAATAAATTGACAGTTTTGTTGTATTGAGAAAGTAATTTTTAGGAGACATGCTGTAAAATAAGGTCTTAACAGGTACAGGAAACACAAATGTGTGTGTGTGTGTGTGTGTGTGTGTGTGTGTGTGTGTGTGTGTGTGTGTGTGTGGGTGTCTGTGTGTGTGTGTGTGTGTGTGTGTGTGTGTGTGTGTGTGTGTGTGTGTGTGTGTGTGTGTGTGTGTGTGTGTGTGTGTGTTTTTCAAATGGCTTCCCCTCTATCTTTGTTTTGTTGCCCATTAGTTACCAGCCTGTAAAAGGTTAGAGCAGGTGTGTGTGTTTTATGGATATTCAATAGAGAGAGAAACCAATCATCCACACACACACACACACACACACACACACACACACACACACACACACACACACACACACACACACACACACACACACACACTCACACTAAATGTCACACCTGTCAGTGGCGATGTGGATGAAAAGGCTTAATTATGCCTCCTCACAAACACACACCGTTATTCATTATCTCTTTTTTCTATAAATGTTCTTCCCTTCTTACGTTCCCTTCCCAACCTCACTGTTCGTCTTCTTCCTCCTCCTGTGTGTGTGTGTGTGTGTGTGTGTGTGTGTGTGTGTGTGTGTGTGTGTGTGTGTGTGTGTGTGTGTGTGTGTGTGTGTGTGTGTGTGTGTGTGTGTGTGGGTAATTAGAATGTCCTCTCTCACAGTGTGGTGATAAATGGAGGAGCTGTCAGGAGACGCCTCCCACTACATCACACATGTCCCTGCTTTGCACGAGATAGCTGCGTCGCGGTTCAGCGATTCTGCTTCATTAGTTTTCTCGCTCTCAGACGGACGCCATCGCACAGAAAAACCACATCAAGGCGTCTCCTCGCTCCAGAGGGAAGTCGGGTTTAAGCAACACACTCAGACACGCTGCTTTCAATTAGACTGCAGTTCCCTCCTCAAATTAGGAGGGATTTCCTCAAATCCACCGTTTCCTCTGTGGGAAGAAAACATTGAACAAATGACTCGAAGTCGAAGCAAGTTGTCGACTTTCATCAGACTCTCTGCAGACGAAGGTTCGTCTTCACTCAGATGTCTGAATACATCAACATATATCAATATCTAAACATGGCAAAGGTTGGAGGACTTGTTCTTCCATCGACAACATGTCAAATGGAAAGCCAACAAGGAGGGAACAAGGGATTCGTGTCAGCGCGTCAATCGTACACATCGACGTCTTTGTTAGCACTTGAAGGACTTCTGTATTATAACAGACAGCGTGTTAAAGGGGGGCGTTTCACCCCAATCATCAGGTCCATTAGTAGAAGTGTGCTTCCTTCTCTGCAGTGATTGGTTGATGGTTTTATTTCTGCAGAAAGAAAATAGTCCCTACATGAAACTGATCACAACAAGCTCTGTTAATTATCTTGAGTTACCACGTCACGATTTGCTCAAAAGAGACGATCCTTACATCACAAGTCGAGTGATAATTCAATTAGCAAGAAGCATCTGTTTCTAACACCTACTTTGACGATAGCATGTTT